TTCCTGCTCTCTTCCTTGGGTTCACATCCCTGTAACCTTTCAGGCAGGCAAGCTGGAATTTCAGCCTCTGTATCTTCTTGGTGCACAGGGACCATTCCAATGTGCGGCGTATGCACACAGCTGTGAAGCTCAACGAAGTGATTGTGAACAAGTCGCATGATGCCAAATTGGTTCTGCTGAACATGCCTGGACCTCCACGTAACCCTGAGGGCGATGAGAATTGTATCCTTAATCATGTGAAATGAATAGTGAGAGTGGTCATTAGTTCCATGTTGCCTCCTTGACTGTTCCTCCCAGATATGGAGTTCCTAGAGGTGCTTACAGAAGGCTTGGAACGTGTGCTGCTGGTGCGTGGGGGTGGCAGTGAGGTCATCACCATTTACTCCTAGTAAATGGCTCCTCCTGCATCTGGCTGGCTGCCTGCCTTCATTACACTGTAGCACATTGGACCATTCCTTTACCTGCCTGCCTCCCCCTAGGAGCCATCTTCTGCCACTGCAGCCTTCTTTTTCTGTCACAGAATGAGGCCTGCTCCTTCTTTCTCCTTAGCAGGCTACCTGGTTGTTAGCCATGGCTCAATGGAGTGTGTATGTGAAGGGTGGCTCAAAGCTGACACTTCCTTGGTCCTAACCCTGGAGCTGATACAGATCAGAATTAGCCTAGCTAGGGGCAACTGGACAGATAAATGGAGTGGGATAGTAGATGTGGTGGGGGCACACCCCACACTGAGCCATTACCTGAGCATCTAATCTATGGTAAGAAGGGGGAGGAAGTGAAGGGACGTAACCTGAAGGGGGTGGGATGGAGGTAGAGATTGTTACACAGCAGGGCAGGGAGGGGTAGTATGGTACAGAATGAAGTAGAGGACAGATCTAAAATGGATAGGTTGCAGTGGAGGAATTCCCCCTCCCCAGGAGTCGTGTGGAACAGGTATTCTCCAATTCCACTTTCCATGCAGTGCCAAAGCTGCTTTGCTTTTCTTATTATTTAAGTAGAGAAAAAGAGTGAGTGCATGTATGAAAGAGAAGTAGGAGACTGTTCAGGCTCTTCTGGACTATCCCCCCCTTTTTGTCTAGTCTGACCCAGGCCCCCATAACCTTTCTTCTCACTTAGACTGGCTTCAAAGGAATCTGGTGTTTCAGGAACTGGGGCTGTTCCATTGGTTTGCCAGAGCAGAGCACCAACAGGCACTGGCACAAAATTCCCTTTCTGCCTCCCTGTCCTAATAATCAGGGACTCCTTTGGGCCCCTTCCTTCCCAGGAGGGGCTGCCCAGGAGTGAGCACCAGCTTTATCCTATCACTGGCTATAATGCTCTGGTGGCTGTAGTGAAAGGTCTGGCTGACTACTCGGAGTTGTTTTTGGTGTTACTATTTTAGCAATCCACCAATGGCTCAAGCTCACCAATTACTTGTTCTACCCTCACAGTGATAGACCTAAGATAAACGAGGAAAGGGAGCATTATCAGTCCATGGTACCCTAGTTCACTGGTGGGGTGGGGGGGATTCTTAGAAGTCTTCTTTCCCCGTTTCCTCCATAATCTGTTTAGCTTAAAAACTGTTTAAACCCCCCCCAGCAAATGCACTGGGGGATGCCTGGCCAAGAGCAAGTGCAATCCTGAAGGGAGAGCAAGTTCCCTTTGTGTTAGTGAGCACAAGGAGATGCTTACTGTATTCCTAATCATGGCTGGCTAAAATGGTTACTAGGACCTTAAATCACCCAGGAGCCTCAAAACCAATAATAATTTAAAAAACAACCCTTCTTCCTTGCTTACTTATTTTGAACGGATTTTTTTTTTTAGTGAGGGTGGGATTTTTAATTTATTAGGGGACAAGAGGCCCCTGTTTACATGTCACTCTTTATGTGCATTTTTTTGCTCTGTAACAGAACTGTAAAAAAATAAAAAAATTTTGTACATGATTTGCAGTGTCTGGGGATGAAGTTGTGTGTTTAACAGTGACATCCCCTCCCTACCACTCCAGGGAGTAGTGCTTCTCCTACTAATTCCTCATGCTGACAGCCAGGCCCTGTGCAGTTCTATGTTAAGTGCTAACATGAGATCTAGCAGTACATGAAAGAGACTGTTGCTGACAGTATAGTGCCTGTCTCCCTGCTGGAGAGGCTGAGCTGTGGTGTACCATACCCTCTTCCTTCTCAGACAGCAGACACTGGACTTTGCCTCATATACACAACAGCTTTATTAGTCCCTACACAGCAGAGAAAGGAAAATACCAGGGCTTGTCTTGCTTCCCCCACAGCATACTTTAGCAGTACAACATCCAGCTTGGAGTTGATGGGGCCCGAGCCCTGGTATCTCTGGGAAGAGTAGTCACAAAAGTAGCCCACCACCTGTGTACTCCATTCGCTGCAATGAGAGAAAAGATCAAACTAGCACAACTCTATCATCCCCCCAACCTTTGTCCTCTGACTTCCCAGAGCCAAACCCTCCCCCTCTCTTTCCTCTAATGCCAGTCTATACCGACTCACCTCAGGAGGTTCAATGAAAGCCAACCAGTCAGAGGCATGGGTAGGCAGCAGCCCCATTGACTGGCACTTGTAGACAGCCAGTGCCAGTCCTAATAGGTTTCCAACCAGATAAACCAGACCCTGTAGGAACTTCTGGCTGGAGCTTTCCAGCAGCTTGAAAGCTGAGGGAAGGAGAAAAAGATGATCAGACATGGAGACCTCCAGATATCGGGTGTCCTTCCCACACTACAACCTCAAATATGGAAAGGTGTTAAGGCTGCAGGAGATGAGGTTGGTCCTGGAACTGGAGGAAGGGACTAGGTAGGGGACAGGGCTGGTTGTTACTTAGCAGAAATGGTCATGGTGGTTTGTGGATGGAGTGGGGGAGGCTGTAGAAGACTAAATATTAACAAGACTGTGGGAGATACAGTGGGGTTGGCAACACTGTATCAAAAAATCAAGAGACAAACTCTTAAGAGATTTGGTATGCAAATTATGAGATGCTTCTTTCTAATCCTCCCTTGCGCATGCACCCTGAGCAGTTCCCCTGCCCATTGTGGCCTTGAGCTCAGTCCTGCTCCCCTGGCAGGACTCCCTGCACCCTTACGCAGCTGGGCCCCACCCAGGCTCCCAGAGACCATGTGGCCGGTTCCAGCCTGCTTGGGGCCAGAAGAAAAAAAAACTCGAGATTTGAGAGTTCTCGCACGAGATCATGAGTCAGACTTAATTTTACTTAGAAATTGTGACTCGCAATAATTTCATGAGAGTTGGCATTACTGGAGATACTTACTGGCAGATATAGCCATGAGGGCCTGAAGAGGGCGCCAGGCCATCATACACACCATCATGGTGGGGAAGATGGAAATAGTATTCCCAGCCATGTACATGATGAATAAGTTCATGGGGATCTGCTTCAGTGGCCCCAGGGCAATATCCCAGCAGCGCTGAGGAGAGAACATGGATAGAATCAGAAAGTGAGAGTTGGAAGGGACCTCAGGAGGTCACGTCTGGTCCAACCCCCTGCTCAAAGCAGGACCATCCCCAGCTAGATCATCCCAGCCAAAGCTTTGTCTAGCCAGATTTTAAAAACCTCCAAGGATGGAGCTTCCACCACCTCGCTAGGTAACCTGTTCCTGTGGTTTTACTACCCTCCTAGTGAGAACATTCTTCTTAATATCTAAGCTAAACTTCCCTTGCTGCAACTTGAGACCATTGCTCCTTGTTCTGTCATCTGCCACCACTGAGAACAGCCCCATCCTTTTTGGAAACCCCCTTCAGGTACTTGAAGGCTGCTATTAAATCCTCTCAATCTTCTCTTTTCCAGACTGAATGAGCCCAGTTCCCTCAGTCTCTCCTCATAAGTCATGTCCCCCAGCTCCCAAAACCATTTTGTTGCCCTCTGCTGGACTCTCTCCAGTTTGTCCACATCCTTTCTGTAGTGGGGGGACCAAAACTGAACACAGTACTCCAGATGTGGCCTCACCAGTGCTGAAGAGAAGGGAATAATCACTTCTACCAATGCAGCCCAGATTCTGTAAGCAGTTTCCCACCTTGAGATCTCTGACCCACAAGGGAAGCCAGGAGCTGTGATCCTGACCCCAGGCATCCTGGGGAAATTCTCTGTGATGCCATGCTCAGAGCCTAGCTCTCCCAGGCCTGATGCCCTCCTAACACCTGCAAAAAGAACCCAGCTGTTCTTGGGATGCTCCCCATGGTTGCCCCCCACCAAAAGTCCCTTGATCCCAAACACTTCCCTCCACATAAAGAGAGGATATAAGTCTTGCCTCTCTTTCCCCTACCAAGAGGACCCCAGCATCTTGCAGAGATTTCCATCCCCTACTCCAGGATTTCACTCTCAGCCTTAAGCCCAGGTAGCCTGCAAACTCATCTGCCAGCATGGGATCTTGCTTCAACCCAAGCCCTTGGTACCTTCTCCACCAGGATGCGGTCAGTCTCCTGGACACTGGTGTCAGGAACCTGCTTGTCCGAGTAGCCCACAGGGTAAAGGGAGTCACCTTGGCTGCTGCCCCGGTCACTACGGCCCCTAGGAAGCAGAGAGAAAACAGATAAGCCTACAACAGTGGTTCTCAACCTTTTTTTTAGACTCAAGAAATCCCTCCATAATTTCTGAATTAGTGGCACCCTATACAGATATGGGTGGAGCAAGACCCTCCTTTTCCCCCGCCATGTAAGAAGGGAAATACCCCTACCTCTACCTTTGCCTTAATCTTTGAAGCCCAACCCCTCCCCTGCAAAGTACAAGGGCAGGGGTGGCCCTTACAAACCACCATCACAGCCAGGATATAGAGTATCTGGGATCTGTTGACCTCCACCAGCCAAAAGAAATACATTCTGAGCACAACAAAAATGTTAGCAGGACTGGATCTTCAAACCTAAATATTCACTCACATAAATACAAATTGTAATCATGAATGTGACGGTGAAATACTGAAAGTACATAAATGACTAAACCGTACAACTAAGTCATATTAAACAAATGATTAAGGTTTTATAAAATGCATGTTCATCTAAAGAAATAACTATCTTGTTAACAGTTGAGAGAATTTTAAAATGAATTTCTTTAAGTCCTAAAGTCTCAAAACACCTCTAGAGTCCTAACCGAGTTCTTCTCTTAGTTCACCTGCAGATGCAGTTCAAGCAAGAACAGAGATTCTGAGATGAACCCAGATTTTCCACTCTGCAGCTGTCAAACCATGAAAAAGCTTCCTAAATAAGGGGGGGGCCGGCAGTAATTTTAATTTATGTAAATAATTAAAAACAAAAACCAACCTTATTTAGGAAGCTTTTTCCATGGTTTAGCCAAGCTGTACAGTACAAAATCTGGTTTCATCACATACGTATACGTGTTCCTAACTGGTGTTATGCTAATGAATATTCATACACCTATTCCTATCTGCTCTATAAGATGGACAAAGCTAATTTTAGACAAGCTCTAACTCCTGAACATGCTTTAAGTGAGATCTTGAACCGAGTTGTTGGGTTTTTTTCTATTCCACCTTCCTTGAAATTTCTAAATTGGCTCAGGCCTTGGGACATCCTCTGGCCTATCCCTTCCTGTGCCACCTCCTCTCACCCAAGCTTTGGCCAAGCGGATGCAAGCAAAGGCTGCGCTGTATTACCACGCAGCAACCCGAGCCCCACCACGCTCTGCAGCAGCAGTTCCCAACCCGAGGTGTGCGCACCACCAGTGGTAGCATCAGCAGATTTATTATAGTTACTTCCTATGACAGAAATTCGCTGGCGGTCCTTATCGTTTTCAATTGGTGGTGCGCAGCCGGCCACTTCGGGGGAAGGGCTGCTCTACAACTCCCCGATGGGGCGGCAGCAGTAGCGGCTG